TTCATATCGTTGAATGCGTAGCGCCTTCTATACCTTTCTATTCCTAAATTCAAATTCATTGATTTGACCTTCGATACGTCATTATCTAAAAAAGTATTTTTTTAACTTCCAAATACTTTATTTCTATATGATGAATTGCTAGTAACATCAGAAATTAAACGTTATATAAGTCTCGGAATTCCCAATTTGTAATTCCGGGAAAAGATAATTACTTATTAGTGAGTCAGATTTTGAGTTCGGTTTGATTTGATAGTAAGTCAAATTTTGAGTTCGGTTTGATTTGATTTGATTATTCCTTCTTTTTTGATGAAATTACAATCTACAGATTTTAAGAAATTTTAATATTACCTGTAAGGCACCAGGCAATAAACCAGAAAGTCAGAACACGTTTGGTATCATTGATTTTACGACGGTAGTTCAGTGAAGAATCACTGATACGAATTAATTTTGGATTCATATATTTATCGATTTAAACTGCTACAAACAGCGGCCGTAAATCCCACATCAATTCGGGCGATAAAGCAATAGGAAATCTAAAAGTAGTCTAAGTCGAAATTTGGGAATTCGTCGTAAATGTGAATATATCAAAATATAAAAAAAAACCAATTCATTAAAAAATTGTTGTTTTTTTTTTTTAAACTGTCGTTTCAAAAAGAAGCTTTATTTTTTTTTTTTTATTCGTAAGTGATAAAAATTATTGCTTTCAAAAATTTTTTAGAGCGTTTATTTCATGCTATATATCGAAAAGTTTATTACCCTTTTTTGCCTTCGATATTAATGTAGACTGCTAACACCGAATTAGCGTTTTAACTTAAACCAAAATTTTATATAAAAGAAAATGTAAGAGGTTAAAATTGCCAAAATTTCAAGTAATGAACATATCAGTATAAAATGGATGACAGCGTCTGAAAAATATATTTTTAACAAGTTATTCATGCCACTTACTTGCCTAATTATAGAATAACTTTATAATCACCTTCTAATCAAGAGAGTGCTCATTCTATCTTTTGTCATCGAAAAATTTTTTATTTAGGATTATCGAAAAACAGCTTTTTTCGAATTTTTGAAGAGATCTGAGAATGTATTGCGCTGAAGTATTGCTTTTTCAGTTGAAGTGATCGAGTAGTGTGAATCAGGGAGCACGCGTATCAACGTTTTTATGCAGCTATTACGGTAATTTTTTAGTCTATTATTCGAATGCTTTCTAATCGATTTCCAATTATTTCAATTAAAATCATAGCTACACTTAATTTCCCTGAAATCAGGAAGCCGCTTAATTTTTGTGCTTTAGTCTACTTTTCACTACATTCACTTTTTATGAGACTTTCATTTGTGTAGAAATTTAGGATTTGCTCACAACATTTCATTGATCCAACCAAATTTAATTTATTTTAGTTTCAATCACATTTATTCATGACCAAAAGAAATTTAAATATAAAACCTATGGGAGCAAAACTCTTGTGTCAGCGCTGTTTTCCCATGGAATCAAGTTAGGAAGGATTTCGAGTTATACGTCATCTGCTTTTCTAGATTTTCCACACATAGTTTCAGATAACCGAACTTCCAATAACTAATCATGAACGTGATTAGTTATTGGAAGTTCCACATTCTTAAAGTAATCATGAAATTATAATTTCCGGATTTCATATATATTAGATAGGAATTTTCAAGAAGTCAAAATTTTTGTATTCTAGATGTATATATTGTGCATGCCCTTGATGACCAAGTACCATATTAATGTCATCCAGAGCTTAATATTCCGACAATTTGAATAAATAAAGTCATCTCTAAATGAGCTACCACTGAAATTCAATACCAAATAAAAGATTTGTCCATATTTTGTCGATAGGTTGTCTAAATGGTATATGGTACCAAAACTTCAGCAAAATGTTGTCATCCTCCAATGAATGATTTCGGAGACTTCTTGGCGCCGCCTCCAATTTAGTCGCTCCACCTCCAACCTTCTTGCTTGCTTATTGTCGTTCATATGGTGGGTGTCCTTATACTTTTACGCTGAAAGCGGTGATGACAAATATTTGTAAAAAAAATTTTACACGAATGTAAAAAAAAAAACGAAATATTGGTTAGAAAGATTGGTGTTGAGCCATTGGTCAGAAGTCCGTTGCAATGAGCCAAGGAATATAGAAGTGTAACTGGAATGAAGCGAATTCATTTCTTCGTCAGCACCCCGTTATACATAAAAACAACAGATCACTGCCACAAATCAATATTACAGAGGACACAACGCTTGAAATCTATGAGATCGCTTAATTGTTTTGCATTTTTTAGCTCCTTTAGAATCAACAAAACTTGGCGTCAAAACTTGAACAGACCATTTTGTGATTTTCGAATTAGTTTTTTTTCCAAAATTTCAAACAACACATGTACGAAATGTAAAAAGACAAGCAATGTTGAATAGCCTGAACAGAAAAATACTCTTAATTCTTGAATATTTTCAACCATATCTTGAGTGCATTTGTAGAAAAGATCAACTTTGGGATTTTTTCAGGCATTCAATTTTAAAGCAGTTCTAAGGAAATAGAAAGCAACACTGTTTGAATTTCATTTTGCGATCAAATTGTAGAGAATCTCGGAAAAACCGGACTTACAGGTATTTTTTGGCATCTGATTCTTTGCTTGCATGATACGTGGACATCACTGATGATTTATGTTTAATATTTGTTTTCATTTCACAAATAATACCATTACGTTGTTGCTCATCAGCACACCCAACAGACAACAGAGGATCTGAGAATATAAACGTACCCAGCCTACTGTCTCATCAGCTGTGCATGACTTCGGAACTTGATAACTTTTTAAAAAACCTTCGCCTTTAGGAAATGCGACTGTTTTTATAATATTGTTTTATTCCTACAGTAAAAAGGACAAACTGATCTTGCTACATTTTTTCTTCGTACAAAAATCTTAAATTTTACGTTTAAGCTTTTCCGTAAGAAAAAACCAGTGTAAAGTTATTATGCTGTGAAGGATTCAGAAGAGAAAGTGATTTTCATCCGTGTAAAAAAGCTGATTGCAAAAGAATTGGGTAGAGGTCAAGTTCATTCGGGAGATGGGAATTTTTTTTTTGCGGTAAGATGAAGTGCGAGTAAAGGACTACTACCATTTGATCCAACTGCTCCTTGTGAAGCGATCACAAATGCAAATTTTTACAGCAGACATATTCCCTTCGCATCTTTCAGTTTTTTTTTTTTCCGTTGCATTTGATTATTTTAAAATAATATAAAGAAATGAATTATTACAAAATTGTAGAATTAAAAAGTAGGTCCAAAAAAATATACAAACTAGAATGACAAGAGGTAAGATGCAAAATCACATTTCGGTTTTCTTGTTTTGCTAATTAACCTTTAATATTATAAAACGATCTTCCTCTCTTCCAAGTTTAAATCTTATGCTTGTAACTTTCATTCACTTTACTCATGCTTATGAATTCGTATACCGTTATCACTGCTGTGTACCTGCGTTCATGTGATAAAGTATCCCACCAGACATCGAACCGTTTTAGATGGGATATGTAACCTTCCGCTTTATGAGACCCTATTGGTCTACATTGTTCGAAAGTATGAGAGGAGGAAAAAACATAGTGTAATCCACTTTTTTTTTAATTTTTCACTACATTAATTTTGGAGAAGTAAAAAGTTATGGATCGATTACTTTAAAAGAGGTTACTTTGGATTCATGTAAATTGGTATCACTCATATTAGTATTTGAAAGGCCTTCTGATAGTGCGTGCATTACAGTATTGGGCAGATTGCGATTTAGTTAAATCATTTTTGATGTGTGAGAGAGCAAAATTTTTTCCAGCAGACGTAAATTGACCTTTGTTGGGCAGCCTAAATTAAATGACCATTATCAAGAAAGATTAGTGATCAGAGATCTGGAAAGAGCATAAGAACTCGGAAATTAGATAGATAGAGATTGGAAATAGCGAGTTGCAGAGAATTAAGAAAAATAGGAAGTCAGAAAGATAGGAAGTCAGCTGTTTTGTGGCAATCATTCTTCCATTTGGAATTTGTTTGCTCGATCGTTCGAAGATGAAAAACCCAATTTATGGGATGGTTGGAATAGGAAAACGGAATACAAGAGAGGTCGAGTTACAGAAGGAAGGAGAGATGGAGTATTAAATTTGATGAGAGGTGTTGAATTTGACCAGAGAGCTCCAGCTCTTTAATAGTTGACCCCACGAATGCTGAACAAATCCGCCTACACTACCCTTTCAGCATAGTCAAATGAATGACCAACTGTCCAGTTTTTCCGCCTGTTTTTTCAAGAGGGACCGAAAACTGAAGAGGGGTCACCGTCCTTGAAAAAAACCTTTTTCCCTTTCCCTTACTTTCGAACTATTTCTTAGCACTGCTCATGATATTGATAATCTGGAAGACTACTGGACATAATTCTAACCTTTTTAGAATGCAAAATCTTGGTTTTTCTACTAATTATCCAAAGACATCGAGAAAGAAAGTTCTTTCCATGTTAGCTTTTTCCTTGCATTATCAATCTGCTATTATGTCGCCTTAATATTTTGAAATGATCATCTCCAACTTCAGTGTTTTCGTTTTACATAGCTAACAAAAGTAATCAGGAACAGTGGTTGCTGATTGCTTTTTTTACAGAAAAATTCATAATGAAAAGTAGCTGTCGCTTCAAAAACACCTTCAATACACTTTCTTCCAACAATTTCAGAAAGTCCAAAAGAAATTTTTCGTTATAATAAATTTTGATTGTGAGCGTAAAAAGATGAAAAAAAAGGATGTAATTCAATCAAAAAATGCCCTTGGATTGTTTGATTTTTTTGTGATTTATTCATTTTGAGGGGTGCAGAAGGCGATTTATGCCACTATTATTGCTACTGGTCTGAAGTGATACGAGGGCAAGGCAAGCGATGTTGAGAAAAAGTAGTTGTCGGAGCTCTGAGCTCTGATACCTACAATTTGCCGGCTAGCTGGATTTTTTTTTTTCGCTTAAAAAGCGAGTTTTCAAAAATGGATTTTTTGTCCGGACGAGGAAAGGATTTTTTCACTATACATGTAATAATCTTTCAATTCTTAAGCTATTCTTTCAAACGTGGAACAAAGAATGAAAAAGGATGGAGTTGTCGAGGTAGGCCGTTGAAGACAGAGTTTGGGGCTATAATGGGAATGAAGCTGGCGACTACTGCAAGGAGGAAAAAAGGGAAGGGACGAGTGCGCATTCTTCTGTACCCATATTAAACGATTTTTTGTAGCGAATTGCCTGCATCCATCCATATGTGCCTATCGTTTTTGCTTGGCGTCGAATTATGTGTAACTACCGCTGCTGCAGTTTTTACTCAACAAAAAATTTTTGGAATTTTTTTCCTGGCTGACATGGGGCAAAGCCACATTGCTTCATAGTGCAATGATTTCTAACGTCTCAAAGAAATGGCAATTGGTTTCTTGTAGAATGAATTTACTTTTCCTTCTTATCCATAAAATCTGCTATAACTTTCTTTTGTGATCATCAAAATCAAGATGAAATTACCGGAGTACTTTTTATCTTGAAGCAGTACTCTCTTTGGTATATATAGGCACATATAATGAATTTACTTTACACTTTAATTCCAAAAATTCAGTGTTGTGCATGGAACACTTATGAATTATTTAAAAAAAAATTTTTTTAACATGAACCCTTCCTTGAAAGGTTAAAAAAGTAAAATTTTATGGGTCATTGTCACATACTTTTCAATTAAGTAATATACGTCAGTCATCTCTGAGAACAAAATTTCTAAAGCATTTCTTTAGCAAACACATAGCAGTAGGCAATGAAGAATTGTATTGAAAGATATAAAGCGATAATAAATCATCGCTTTTTAAGTAACTAATTTTTTAGAACCATTAAGGAACAGTAGGCAGCCTGGCTAACATTTTTTTTAATTTTCCATAGATCATACATTGTTCAAATCTCCTTATAATTTTCTTCATTTCCGAAAACGAATTTCCTCTTTTAAATTTTAAAAGCATATGATCTTTCCGTAGCTCCATATTGTAATTTTGAAATTCACCAGGATTTCTTTCCTATTGCATGTTGCTCTGTTATTGTTTTTCTCGTTATTTTGATTTATGATAAACTTAAATTTCAGCAGTTAATTTTCCTATTGAAAGATTTTAAAGAAATCTTAGAAAGCATAATGGCAGTTGAAATTTTCAACTACTCTTCCTAAATTTTGTTCATCCCGTTACTACTAATGCTGTCAGTAGCTAGACATCTTAAAGAACAGTGAATAAGTCTTCTTGAAATTAGTATGAAGATTTGAAATCGTTTGCTAAAGAACTGTAACAGTTTAATGGAATTGTTTTACGGTACTTCTTTACTTTAGTTAATAAGAAATCACTTTAAAAAAGTAAAGTTTGAATGACTCTTCTATTATTTGAAACAGAGATCAGCAAAAATATATCATTGGGTTTTACTGAGCTGTTTCGAAACCGAAATGTGACGAATCGTGGAGGCATCATATCACTTTAACGCAAGAAAGTATGCTGAAAATAATCTGAAGTTATTGTCAAGCGGAAATGAAATGCTATGACTCATTGAAAATCATGTTGAGAAAGCTTAAAATGTGTGAACACGCACAGCTAATCAAAAACCATCTATTTAAATGAAAAACATAAAGCAGGACTGGAATCAGCATTTCACTAAAATGTTATCAGAAATAATGAATTGATAAGTTATGCTATTTCAGTGGTTTATGAATAGAAAAATTCAGGAGAGAAAAATTTTGTTTCGTCGAACTGATCTCATCTGATTGGGAAAGACTTTCTTTCGGCTTTGTGATACTATCTTGAATCATTCACTTTGAGTTTGAACGAATCAATCTTTCCAAATCTAAATCCTCCTAATTTGAATTATAATTTCGGAAAATCATAAAAATTCAGGTGATACGTCTTATGAAAGAAATTAGAGCTCAAGTCCGAGCTTTCTAACTTGGCATATTCCCTTGCTTTCAGAAATTTTTTTGCAAATTTGGTTATTAAGCACTCGTCTCCATTGCTTGGTTATGTCTGTATGGAATTCTAAAACGTTTTGTTTTAAGGCATTAAAAATTACAGCTTTCCTTTGATCAAGGTTCCATAGAGCTAAAGTTCTAATTAATTGCAATTAGAGCACAAAAGATATAGATTTCGAAAAATATGTAAGCTTAAATTCTGAGGTCTCCTTTTAATTTTATGCATGTGTTTTATGAACAACATCGTGATAATTGGTTTTCAATTGTTTCGTTTTATTCAGATCCCTTTTTAGTAAATAGTAATTCACGTTGTTTCATTGCAAGTTTTGAGCACTGGAACAATTTTTCTTGACAGGAAGCAAAATTCTTGTTTTGAAATCTGAAAGGAAATTTTGATGTGTATAAGTACGGTGGGGATAAGCGCCTGATTTTTGGAATTTTTAAAACTCTTTTTCTTGAAGTTAGAAATGTTTATGGAAATGGTTAACCTTGTTGGCAGCTATCTTTTTCTTGTTATATGTTCTAAAAAAGAATTAGAGAAAAGGATATGCCTGGTAAACAACAGCTTTAGCATTTGAGACGACTCAGAAAAGGTCAGAAACTTGAAATGATAAAATTTGGAGCAATTCCTGATTGTCTCATCTTTAAAAACTCTTCCTTCACTATTCCTTATTCTTAATTGTAGTCTAATTCTACTCATGCCATATCTCATAAAAAAATCCAAAAATTTCTTGCACGGAATTTAAAATCAGAAACGATCCGGTGGCGAATTTCTGCCAGTGCCAGGCGCCATCATCGCCATTCCCTGTTTCTTTATTTCATTGTCACTTCTACCCAATGCATACTCGTTTCTTTTCTAAAAAAAAAAAACTCCTTGCTCCCAAAAATTTCATCCTTTTTTTTTGTATTTTGGAACGAACGGCACACAGACGAACAGACAGACAGCCACACACATACACACACATACACACATACACACACACATATATATATATATTTATATACATAAAACATATGTATTATATTCAGGAGATAGAGGTACACGTAGAAACAATGATTGCGACTTATCTAAATTCTTAATTTGTGTCATTGGGAAGTTAAGTTATCAGTACATAATGCTTAATTCATTATATCATATCATGGAAGATTGTGCCTCAGCAATAACTTACCTTAGCACATTTTTTAGCCCATTTTGCTACGTCATTATGTAAACATCGTTCGCTTTTATTTTCTAACTAATTGTTGCTAAGACAAATTCCAAATAAGTTTATACATTTTCATGAAAAAAACTAAATGCTTTTAAAAAATGAATAATGCAATAGAAAATATTTTAGAAATATTATTTAGATATCAGATTTCATTTTAATATTTTGCGGTCATGGTTAATATAGAACCTAGTGAATATCATTATTTGCATCTCAGTAGACAAAAAAATTTAGGCTCGAATATTATATATAAAAATAAATGCTTTTAGAAAATCTTGGATTGTGTTTTTTTACTTTAGATTTATTTTTTCCATCTGGTCACTAGTAACTTATGAAAATGCACTTGGATCAATAAATTATCTATAGATGTATGTCTCATTGGAATATGATAAGCCCATTTAATGATACTATTAATAAGTATTGCTAATAGACTATTACTTTTTATGCTTATTCATGTCACATACACAATTCAGTACAACAGTACTCTAACATTCGCAACTTTTTTGTATCTCGACATAGTAAGCATTTCGAAACTTTTTGGTAATATTTAACTATTAATTTAAACTTCTGTGTTACTCATTAAGAAACCAAACTTTTTCTTGACTGTATATACTCCATTCGATTTGTTGTGCTATTAAAGATTCATTTTGCGGTAACATTTGCTTCAATGTGTGTTTGTCTAGTGAAATTTGGCTTCATAACCTTTCTGTCACACTTTCCATTGTGAGCAGAATTGGCAGATAAATTTTTATCAAAACTACTTGAATGACTTTCTTTGATTTCTAGTATTTCACATTCATGATTTGTTTTCTTCTTTGTTAAATTCCTAAAAATTTTCATTATTTTTGAAATATCATATGTCACTTCTATAAATATTTGTTAAAAGAAATTTATCGTCTGGATGATTATGTTAATTTTAAGTTCGATACGTCTCTTCAAAACTCTGTAGACCTTTATAAAAAGCATGGCGTCTCTACTTTGTAAATTCTATTCATATTTTTTATTTCACCTAGTGTTATTAAAATATCGATCTAATTGCATCATTTACATGATAGTTTCGCATTCTTTTTTTGTTTTGCTATCACTATTACCTTCTTTCCGGCATACTTTGTAATTTTTTGTCGATAACAGAAATGATGCTAATGTTTATCCAGTTTTTAATGAAGTCAATGCAATAAAAGCATTAAAATTATATTGTGTATCCTTGAAATTTTTTGCTTGTACGTTCTGTTTTACAATAACAAATATACCGGTTTCTGTTATCAAAATAATATTTATGCACCTGTCCAGCTTTTATCACCTCTTTTTTGAATAAATTTATATGTTTTAGAATTACAATAGCAATTATATAAATAACAATTACTTATTTTCCTACCATTTTAGCTTTCTTTTTCGTTAACATCTAGTTGCTTATTTATTAAATTTAAGTTCATTATAGAAACATTTATTAGAATATTAAAACTAAAAGAATTATATTACCTTTCAATTTGCTTTATACGGGGGTAAATCAGAGAAATCGGGGAGCTCATTTATTTCATTTAAATATAAGGAATATAAGAAATAGTCAGATAGTAATTCTCAGGTTTGAGACTTTTTAATTATTTTTTAAGCAGTGAACTTGAATTAAACTTCTACGCCATAGTTAGTTCATGTATAAGTTATTGAGATTAAGTCTCATAAAACTTAAATCTCATAAGAAATAACCTACAAGTTTCAAATGCAATTTTTTAAAGTATTTGAAGCTATCTACCGCTCTTAGCGATATTGAATGAGTTAAGCGTGTTGTTTTCCTCTCTATTAAAATGTTATTTTCTCAAGTGGATTAATAAATAATTGAATTTATAATAGCTTATAAAACTCATTTTATTCGTCATAAAATTAGTTGCATTATTATTTAACATCGTTATCTTCTATTTTGATTTATTGCAGGTTACACGATGTATTTCATCTAAATTAATTCATTTGCAAAGAGATTGGTATTTTTGTGTTTTTGTTTCGCACCAGAAAATTTATGAACTTTCTGCGATGTAAAGATACGCTGATT